CAATTCTGTGTAAAATTATGAGTCTATTTATATGTGTATTCTCTGGGAATAAGAACTGTATCTTTTATCAAATCAAAAAAGTCTCCAGAAAATAAGAACCATTGGTCTACATCAAGTGCATATGAAACACATATAGAAAGCTTACCCTGTTTTTTTTTTTTTTAAAGATTTATTTTATTTATTTGAAAGAGTTACAGAGAGAGGTAGAGACAGAGAGAGAGGTCTTCCATCTGCTGGTTCACTCCCCAGATGGCTGCAATGGCCAGAGCTGAGCCGATCCGAAGCCAGGAGCCAGGAGCTTCTTCTGGGTCTCCCACATGGGTGCAGGAGCCCAAGGACTTGGGCCATCTTCCACTGCTTTCCCACGCCATAGCAGAGAGCTGGATCAGAAGAGGAGCAGACAGGACTAGAACCGGCACCTACAGAGGATGCCAGTGCTTCAGGCCAGGGCTTTAACCGCTGCGCCACAGTGCCAGCCTCTACCCTGGTTTTAAGTGTAGTTTTGAGGTTGATACATTCATTGTGTGTGTGAACACAATAGGTGAATAATGAAAAACAGTTACACAGACACAGTGCTTCTAGTACAGAGACCCACCTAAGGCAGCTGAACCAGTGTGGACAAGCTTCACAGAAAATACATCTGAAACAGCACTCTCAAAGCCCCCATATAACTCTAGATACACATTTCAATACTAGCACTTGTCCCCACCATGGCATAATCTAATCACATTATAAATACAGCAAAATGTCAAAGAAAAAATAATAAAGGAAAAAACTTATAGGTAAAAAAACTATAAATTTATGGGAAAATATCATCTAAGTTTTTCAAATGCCAATAACTGGGCTAAGAGTTTAAGAAACTCTTTTTTCCCCCCGACCTCAAGAGGTAGAGGGGCCGGCACTGTGGCACAGTGGGTAGAGCCATATGGGCGCCGGTTCAAGACCCGGCTGCTCCACTTCCAATTCACAGCTCTCTGCTATGCCTGGGAAAGCAGAAGATGGCCCAAGTTATTGGGCCCCTGCACTCACATGGGAGACCTAGAAGAAGCTCCTGGCTCCTGGCTTCGCATTGCACAGCTCAGGCCATTGCGGCCATCTGGGGAGTGAACCAGTGGATGGAGGACCTCTCTAACTCTGATTTTCAAATAAATAAATAAATAAATCTTTAAAAAAAAGAGAGAGAGAGAGAGAGATAGACACTACCATCACAATAGCTCACAGATGATAAATTGAGACCAGGGACACTCAGCCAGACACTGGAAGAACCATGATTTGAACCCTGGTCTCTCTGACACCGAACATTTGCTCAGAAACACCCCTACAATGCTGGGATAAAATGTTAACACTTGGTTTTGCAAAGGGGAAAAGGCTTAAATCACCCTAGTGGGCGCTTCCCATGAGGATGGCGGTGCAGCAGTATGTGCACAACGGACAGGCCTGGGCTCCACGTTAATCCTCACCGCCCAGGCTGCTACCCACAGAAGGAAGACAAATCCTGAACTCAGAACACCCCAAGGCACTGTATCCCACAAGTCCACCATTGTCCTTCCTCCTGCGGAAGACCTGGCTCCTTATTCGGAGAACCTTGCTATCTTATTTCCAAGGGAAGCTTTTAAATTGAGATCTTTCTTTCATTATTCAAGTTCTTTAACGATGTTTTAAAATTCTGAATTGGTTGACTGACCTTATTTTCTAAGCCCCAAAAGGGTTTTCCTTTTTTTTTTTTTTTTTTTTTTTAATTTCTTGACAGGCAGAGTAGACAGTGAGAGAGAGAGACAGAGAGAAAGGTCCTCCTTTTGCCGTTGGTTCACCCTCCAATGGCCACCACAACTGGCGCGCTGCAGCCGGCGCACTGCACTGATCCAATCGCAGGAGCCAGGTACTTATCCTGAATTTTTGTCACTTAAAACGACCACAACAATCCGGGTTAACCTGCCTTCAGCAATGAAAACTGTCTAGATGCCAACAAAGTTGCAATTCTGTAGCAATTTTCTTCCTCCGTACTTCCCTTAGTCTACAATGTTTCTATACTCACAATCCCACCCAGCTCCCTAACCACAAGGGCAGTGGGCTTGGTCCCAAAGTCTTAACAGTAACGACCTTTTTTTAAAGCCTCACACACAAACATCATTCCCCACAAAACGGTGAGCTTCTAAACGCCAAAGCCATCACAGGGGGAGAGGTTTCACCGGTGCAGGTCAAGATGCTCACGCCCCACATCTGGACACCTGTGTTCACCTCCTGACAACGCAGCAGGTGACGCACAAGGGGAACCTGAACCGCATTCCCGGCTCCAGGCTTGGGCCTCAGCCCAGCCTCAGCCACTGCAGTCATTTGGAGAGTGAATCCGAGGGCAGGGGGTGGGGAGTGGGAGCCCTCTGTTTCTCTGCCTCTCAAATATTTTTTCATAAAAGTATAATTTATTCACTCCATAAATCAAAGCACTTCCTAGATGGCCATCAATAGCCATGAAGCATGAAATCTTTAGTATTCTATAAACCTTAACAAAACCAAGAGCATTTAATGTCATTACAAGCCTCAAAAAATCAAATCCCGAAGGCCAGACTTAGGCCTGTCATGTGTTTTTGTTCGCATTATCACTGACTGACCTACTTGAGCAGAGAGAGCTCCCATCCACTGGTTCACTCCCTAAGAGCCCGCAGCAGCTGGGAGGAAAAGGGAGAGTCTGGAACTCCACCAGGGTCTTCGAAACTCGGGCCAGAACCGATCCTGGGAGCCGACAGCCATCACAGCTGCCTCCCAGGGTCTGCATCAGCAGGGAGCTGGAGTCAAGAGGTGGGTGCAGGTATGGAACCCTGGTGCTCCAACACTAGGACAAACACCTGCCCACGCCTGTCTTGTTTTGTGTCTAGTAAGTCTTACTGACGTCCTCGGACAATGCACTGTGTGGCATTTTCTTAGTCACAATTTTTTCTACTTAAAATGTATAGTAACTACACACATTAAGGTACCAACATTTCTTGACTTCTAAATAAATGTGTAAGTCATTTTGTGCTGAATTTTTTGAAAGATGTAGTTATTTATTTGAAAGGCAGGATAATATAGAGGGGCAGAGAGGGAAAAAGAGACAGACAGACATACGTACACACAGAGAGAGGACGAGGTCTTCCATCTGCTGGTTCAGTCTCCACATGGCTGCAACACCAAAGGCTAGGCCAGACTGAAGCCAGGAGCCAAGAATTCCATCTGGGTCTCCCACAAAGGTACAGAAGCCCAAGCACTTGGGCCATCTTTCCCAGGAGCATTAGCTGGGAGCTGGATCAGAAGTGGAACAGCCAGGTCTTGAACTGGTGCATTGCAGGTGGCAACTTTACCCACTGCGCCACTACACCAGCCCCTCAAAACTTATTTTAACAAAGGCTTTCTAACATGACTGAAAATCTCAACTCCACCAGCTATGGCTCAAAAATAATGCTCTTCTCTCTGAATTCATTCATTTATCCAGTGTACATCACCATACAAGCAGTCCCACTGTTTAGGTGAACACTCATTCCTGAAGACTGGCGGCAAATCACCGTTTGGAAACCCTGACCGCCTATACTGTCTGGAAGAGTCCACTCCGGATACTGCCGTGTGGCGGCTGACACAGCCTGAATAAGCCAAGTGACCCTGAGGGACGCCACCTGTAGTGAACAAACCAGAGCAGGTCTCACCCGCGTTACTCAAGCTTCCCCATCACACCTGAGGCCTTCCTTTGTCTGAAATGGCATGTGAGTCCTGTGTAAAACGTGAAACACTCTGCCCATGTACTGTTAATGCTGTTCCATGTATAAACCCAAACGATTATTCTTCATACAACAATCTGCCTCTCCTGATTAACTGGTTTACTTCCTTTCATTCATCAACGTCAACTATAATTAGTCCTATTTCCTCTTTCACTTTGACAAACTAAAAGGAGAAGCAGCCAACTGCAGTTACCTGCAGGCTCAGTCATCCCTGTGCTCACTGTCGGTCCTCTCCTTCATGATCTACTCCTACCAAGCCCGTCATCCTCAAAGTCCCACTGAACACCTTTCCAGTATTATAAGAGCACTCAAGTCCTCTCTCAAAGGCAGCAGACTACAAGGTGCCATCTCTGCACAGAATGTACCCAGCCCAGAGTCCACAGCAGCAATCAGTGAGAACTGAAAACCAGCCTTCTGCATGCGAAGCATTTGGTAAACATCAAGAATCTGAAAACAAGCACTAGAAGGGCCAAACCCCACAGGCTACGGCAGTAAATACCAAGGAAATCACACAAGTCCCAAGTGCACGAGAGAGAAATACTCCAAAGCAGTCCATGGCGAGAGCTGGCGCAACACACATGCATCCACTGGGCCTGCAGGCTCAGCTACGCTCTGAAGGCCCACACAGCACAGCACAAGGCAAACAAAACACGTCACTCGGCTCCCACTTTCTGTTTACACAAGTTAAACTCAGACCTTCCCAGTGTCTTCACACGCTTCACGTGTGATCAAACGAATTCAGCTAAATTCACTGCAAGACGCAGGGACAGGAACCAAGAGCCTAAGAACGAGTGGAGCCCAGCCCGGGCCTCCAGGCGACAAGTCTATAACCGACACGGAGGAACTGGTGCAGGAAGTCGTCACTGTGTGGGAGAGCCAGAGAGAAGCTCCCACTGCAAGAAACCCTGGCTCCAGTGTTCTGCTGCGCAAGAAACAATCGGCCCACTTCCAGGTGTGTCCCCCCAAAAAAGGGGAGCAGAGACTCCGACGGGCCGGACCCACCCGCACTCCGGGTAGTATTCACAGGAGTCCAAAGACAGGCGAAGACCCAAGTGGCCCCCAACAGGTGAACAAGTACACACAGAACACGGTGCCAACTTAGGGCCAGGTTGCGTCCTGATGAACCCATCACAACACAAAGATCCTGAGTTGAAAATACACTTAACACTTGCTCCACCGTGTGATCGCGGGGCTGACTGGCAGCTTTGCTCTCTGCCACGCGCGGAAAAGACCAGAGTTCAGATTTCCACGTACGGTTCTCCAGACTGTGTGCTGCTTTCGCACTGCGGTCCCGCTGAGAAATCCTGACCTGGGGCCATCGATACGGACGATGGAATCACTCAGCTGAGAGAGGAAATTCTGACGACACCGCGCTGAGTGAAACAAGCCGGCCACAAAAAGGCAAACACTGCATGATTCCACGAACACGAGGCTTCCAGACAGTCACCTCCTAGAGACAGAAAGCAGAATGGCTTGCCTGAGCATGGAGGAGAGGGTGGAACGATGAGGAGCTGTCTAAGGGGGCAGAGTCCCAGGCGAGGAATAAGAAGGTCTGGAGATGAATGGTGGTCACAGATGCAATACAACTGTGAGTGTACCTAATACCGCTGACAGGTGCATTTAAAAGCGGTTCCTATGGTACATTTCCTCATGTAAGAATCCAAACAAAAACAAAAAACTAGAGGTCACCTGAACATTCATGACCAAACAGAGCTTCACTCATCCCACAGTATGAACCAAGGACTTCCTAGGCGGCAGGCGGACTGTTCCCCTAACATCTACTTGGAACAGCAGTGCAATGCAGAGAGTGTGCAAGCAAAGACTGAAATCAACCATCACTCAGCTCTGGCTCTGCCACTCTGAGACGCACAGCTTGGGGCAGCCATCACGGAGTCTGGGTTCCTGGCCTGTACCACAAGAACACAGAGTGTGTCGGGGTGCTAAGGAAGCACTTGCTCCCCTGCCACGGGTGAGTGGAAACGCGACTCCCCACCTTAGGGTCACGGTGAGACAACGGCTATGAAGCATCACCATGCCAGGGAGCAGCAGAGAGTAAAGTCTCCGGGTGCGGTAAGTCACCCCCGCTGAGGCGGGCGGGCACCACCCCACCAGTGCCCCCACGAGCAGCCCCACGAAGCACTAGGCCGCACAACACTGCAGGAAATGTCTTCTAAAATGGAAACAGCAGGGCCCAGCAACAGCACATCAGCCTTGCTACACAACTCACACACGGATCGCGAGGGCTGCAGGAGCAGGAGCCTAACCTCACACAGAGGAAACACTGCTAAAATAATCGCAGGAAAAGGTCTTGTCTTCTCAGATCAGAACTATCTGTCCTTAAAAGGATTTTCGTGCCATTATCTTTGTTATCCTGGTTGCAGCGACTGCACTAAAAGCAATCTTCGGCGCATCTGATCCACAGTTTTATCAAATATGCCCTGAAATGAAGTTTTCAGACTCATATGCTCATCTGGACGCGACATCTGCATGTCGTGAGTTACACAGGCCACAGGTGGCTTAGAAAAAGACTGCGATCTAAGTCAGTTCTCAAAGATATTTATACATTAAAACTACGGATGGCTAAGAGGCTCCTGCAGAACCTCTTCAACTATCAAGTGCGTGGTTAGGATGGCTATTTCCGTTCCCAGCGTTGGATGTCTGTGGCAGTGATTTTCACTCTCGTTCACCTTTGTCAACCACATCTTTAAAAACTGTCTCCCAAGCCGCTGAGCCCCTGAGCTCGGCCCTCCCTCCCCCGGGGCTGCGTGTGAACACTGCGGGAGCCACAGGCTCAGAACTCAGCGAGGCTTCTTCATCAGGTCAGGTGTTTCACCTGCCGGTCCAGAGACCCCTCGCCGTGCCTGTCAGTGACACATCCCCGGCGGCCGGGACCACCTTCCGCAACCCAGGTGGTCAGCACGGCCCGGCTGGCCAAGTCACCTCAGCCAGACACGGGTTCCCCCAAATCGGAAACCGGCTCCTTCCCAGGGGCCGCGCATCTTGGCGCCAAGAACAGCTAAGGCCAGGAGCAGCGGATCTGGTCACCTGCCAGCAGGCAGGCAGGGTCCCCCGAGGGAGCCCCCCGGGGCCAGCGTAGGGCCCCGGGCTGCACGCGCCCCGACCGCCGCGCTGTCCGCACCCCCTTCGGGCGCCGAGCGGGACCTGTCAAAAGCCCCGCGCCCCGAGGCGCTGGGCGCGAGCACGGAGGACCGGGCCAACTCGGCGTGGGGAGGCCCCGCGTGCCCTCCTGCGCCTCCCAAGCCCACCCGGGAGGAGGAGGGGGCGGCTCCGGGGTCGGGGCCGAGGGGCCGCGCCGCCCCGGCCCGCCAGGCCGCGCCGCCCGCCAGCGCCGGCCCCCGCGGCCCGGCCAGGCCCCGACGCGCGGCGCGGGCCCAGGGCGCCCACGCGGGCCTCCGCGCGGAGGCGGGAGCGCGGCCGGGCGGAGCCGCTCCCCGCCCCGGACACAAAGCGGCGCCGCGGGAGCCCGCCTCACCTGCAGCACGGGGCGCCGCGGGCCTTCGAGAACCATCGGAGCCCGCTCCGGCGCGCGCGTCACAGCCCAGGCCTCCCGGTGCCGCCCGGCGCCGCCGCCGCCGCCGCCATTTCCTCCCGCTCGCCGTCGCCTCGTCCCCGCTGTCAGGTTACTCCATTCACCTGGGCCTGCAGCAGCCTGCGCCGCGCCGCGCCTCCTCCGCGACCCCTCCCGCCGGCGCCTGCGGAGACTGCGCAGCGCCCGGCTCGCCCGCAGCCCGCGCACGGCCCGCGGCGACGGCGCACAGCCGCTTGAAGAATCCCACCCGCGGCCGCGCCGCGCCTCCTCGCCCCCACGCTCCGCTCGCCCCGCGGCGGCCTGAGAGCGGGCCTCTGATTGGACAGAGCGCCGCGGTGAAAGGTTAATCGCGGCTCCGCAGCCACTCAGCAGCAGGGAGACAAAACGGGCGCGGGCCGGGCGGCCGAGGCGCTGTTTGCGGCCCGGAGTCGGGGCCCGCGGGAGCCCGCGCGCTGCGGGGCCGTGGGGCCGTGGAGCCGTGGGGCCGGGTCGCGCTGCCGCCGGCCCCGACTCCGGAGCCCGCCCGCCTCCGTCGCTGCTCCGCCGGCCCCGACCGCGGCCGCGACTGTTTTGGGGCCTGGCCCGGTGGTGGGGTCCGGCCCCCGCCGTCTGAGGGAGGTAAATCGCACACCCACCCCCACGCGGGGAGGAGCGGACCGCGGTCCCCACGTTTGCTCGTCGCTGGGGGGTTTAGACAGCAGCACCCTGGCTTTGCGGAAAATCGCGCGGGCATCTCCTCGCGAGGACGCGGCCGATGGGCCGGTTCCCTCCGGGGAGGGGTGACAGCGCCCAGCGATGGTGCGTGGTGGCGGGTCCTGGTGCCCCGTGCCCACCCCCCAGAATAACAGCCGGCTCGCTGAGAGCTGCACCGGTTCCAGCTGGAACCAGTGCTCACACCCGATGAGACAGCGACGCATTTTCAGCGTCCTGCGTGGGTGCTCCGGCACCCCGATCCTTACGTGGGCTCTGAGATGGGCGGGTGCCGTCCCTGCTCTCCGTTTTTAAAATAAAAAATGACTTTAGCAAGGGAGCCGCCGCCACAGTGAACGCCTGAGGTGCGCACCCGAGGAGGCTGCTGTGCGCAGATCCGACTCCCCCGGGAGATTTCACGCGCACCTGGAGCCTTCGTGGAAAGATGAGGAAGTGGGCAGGACGCGCCTGGCAGACCTACCTCGGCCCGGATGTCGCCGGTGGCGTGGGGAGGATTCGGTGGCGAGAAGGTGGCATCTCCGTGTGCCGGGAGGCACTGGGGCGCTGGCAGTGGGAATGTGTGGGCAGGCAAACTTTTCAGCACGGGTGGGATTGTGCTGTCCGCCCACGATCTGTCAGCCTCTCCATCGGCCACCTGGTTTTCATTAATTTTTATCTTTTTTTTTTTTTAACAGAAAGAAGATCTGCCGTCTGCTGGTCACTCCCAAAATGGCCACAAGGGCCAGAACTGGGCCTGTCTGAAAGCAAGGAGTCAGGCGTCCCACGTGGGTGCAGGGGCCCAAACCTGAACCATCTTCCACTGCTTTCCCAGGCACACTAGCAGGGAGCTGGATCAGAAGTGGAGCAGCCGGGACTCGAACCAGCACCCATGTGGGATGCCAGTGCCACAGGCAGGGCGCCAGCCACTTGGGCCGCCGCCTTCTGCGTTCCCCAGGCTCCATCCAGAGTAGAGCAGCGAAGCAGCCGGACTCAGCCGGCGCTCGCATGGCACGCCGGCATCGCAGGCGTCAGCTGACTCCGTGGCACCACAGCGCTGGGCCCCTGGGTTCAGAATTGCTGTGCGTGCACAAGCCAGGACAGCTCTGTCGTCCCTGGGTGTCTCCCTCACAGTGACGCCGGCGTGCATACGCATTCCCACACCTTGCTTTTTTGCCCTCGTGTATCCAGGGCATGAGTCTATAACTATTTATTTATTTATTTATTTTTGACAGGCAGAGTGGATAGTGAGAGACAGAGAGAAAGGTCTTCCTTTTGCCGTTGGTTCACCCTCCAATGGCTGCCACGGCTGGCGTGCTGCGGCCGGCGCACCGTGCTGATCCGAAGCCAGGAGCCAGGTGCTTCTCCTGGTCTCCCATGGGGTGCAGGGCCCAAGCACTTGGGCCATCCTCCACTGCACTCCCTGGCCACAGCAGAGAGCTGGCCTGGAAGAGGGGCAACGGGGACAGAATCTGGCGCCCCGACCGGGACTAGAACCCGGTGTGCCGGCGCCGCTAGGTGGAGGATTAGCCTAGTGAGCCGCGGCGCCGGCATGAGTCTATAACTGTTTACAGTGCTCATCATACATTTTCCACCTCACATACATAGTGTTTTATGGCAGGGTGATAGCATAATTTACCAACACTCTGTTAGTGAGCACTTAGATTTGTAGTCTTTTTCGATTAAACATTGATCCATTTGGAATGGACTGAGTATATGGTGTGAGGCGTGGTTCCAAATTAATTTTTTTTTTTTCGGATGCTGTGCAATTGCCTGTTTGTTGACCATTTGTTGAATATTCCCTTCGGGACTTGATCTGTTCCAGTGGTCTGTTCATGTTCCAATTTCTGGTTTGCTTTAAATCTGGAGAACAAGTCTTTTTAAAAAAATTATTTATTCATTTGAAAGGCAGAGTTACAGAGCAAGACAGAGAGGTCTTCTGTCTTCTGGGTCACTCCCCAAATGGCAACAGTGACCGGGGTTGGGCCAGATCAAAGCCAGGGACCAGGAGCTTCCTTCGGGTCTCCCATGTGGATGGCAGGGGCCCAGAGACCTGGGCTGCCATCTGCTGCTTTGACAGGCGCATTAGTGGGGAGCTGGATGGGAAGTGGAGCAGCTGGGATTGGAACCTGCACCCATAGGGGATGCCAGAGCTGCAGGTGGTGACTTAACCTGCTACGCCACAGCAGCGGCCCAGATACAAAGTCTTGTAAAGGAGAATACCTCACGCTGCATCGCTGTTTCAGCCCACATTCAGCAACGTACAGTGCCACGTGGCACGCGTTTCCTGTGGGCTTTTATTTTCTCGTGAAATGGGAAGAAGAGGAAACTCTTCCTCAGAATAGAATGCACTCATCATTTTAAAAGAAAAGGAAATTAGAAGGTCACCACCTGGCAGTCAGCAGACAAGAAAGGTCAATGTTTGCTGAATCTAGTGAGTGAAAGTTGTATCAGGAATGAGACACTTGTGTAGGTTCAAAGCATCTCTCCATGAAGCTTATTTTTAAAAATGAGAACTTTACAAAGGAAAAATCCAGAGATACCATCTTGCTGAAGTCATCGAAGTCCCGTAAGGGGCCCAGTGCTGTGGTGTAGCAGGTAAAGCCGCTGCCTACAGTACCGGCATCCCATATGGGTGCCAGTTCAAGTCCCGGTTGCTCCACTTCCCATCCAGCTCTCTGCTGTGGCCTGGGAAAGCAGTAGAAGATGGCCCACGTGCTTGGGCCTCTGCACCTGCGTGGGAGACCCAGAAGAAGCTCCTGGCTCCTGGCTTTGGATTGGCTCAGCTCTGGCTGTTGCAACCATTTGGGGAGTGAACCTGTGGATAGAAGATTCTCTCTCTCTCTCTCTCTCTCTCTCTCCCTCCCTCCCTCCCCCCCTCCCCCTCTCTCCCCCTCTCCCCCTCTCCCTCTCCCTCTCTCCCTCCCTCTTTCCCCCTCCCTCTTTTCCTCCCTCTGCCTTTCTGTAACTCTTTCAAATAAATAAATAAACCTGGTCCTGTGAGGGACCATGTTTCATTTGAAAAAGCAGTATAATCGCCATTGATACGGCGTCGGCATCCCAGGAGTGTCTTCACCACTGAACCAAATGCCCACGCCTGCCACGGCGTCAGCACAGTTCAACAGAATGACGGCGTTGAAAGCCGACTTGAAGCCCCCTATTCTTCCTTCACCCTTTACTGCCCTTCGCCAGCCCCTCTGTTTCCAGACGTGGTTTCTCTCAGTGCCCAGCCCCAGCCTTTGTCCCATGGAATTCTCTCGCCTCCTCCCACGCAGTGTGAGCCCAACGTGGAGTGAGGCAGCTTCCCGGCTGCACCCTGTGCAGGGCTGTCTGGGAGGGCTGGAGACGCCCTAAGTATCAGTTGGCTCGGAGCTGCCAGAACAACATGCCGCAGCTGAGGGCAGCTCACACCGTAGGAATCGTACAGTTCTCACGGTTTTCAGTTCTGCAGACGTGAAGTTCAAAATCAAGGTGTCGGCAGGCTTGGCTTCTTCCGAGGCCTCTCTCCTCAGCTTGCAGATGGCTTTTTATCTGTGCTCATGCACCCTGGTGTCTCTGCATCCCGACATCCTCTTACAGGACACGAACCTCATCGTGCAGGGCCGGCCCTGACAGCCTCATGTCAACATGGTGGTCTCTAAGGGCCCTGTCTCCAAACACAAGCACATTCGGGGTTAGGGCCTTAAGGTGTGAATTTTGCAGGGACACGTTTCAGCCCGTGACACTGAGGTCTCAGGAGACATGTAACTGACCCAGCAGATGGCATCCAGGCTGAACCCTGGAGGTCACCGTCCAGGCACAGCCCTCACCCACGCCCAGCAGTTCCGCAGGAAAACAAAGTCTTGGGTGTGAGTTCCCTGAAACGTCCTTAACATCAAGACTTCGCTCTTTCCGTTCCATAACCCACGTTGCTTCTATCAGTTTTTCTGATATGATTCCATATCAGGGTTCTGCTGCTCAGAATCTAACTGCCATCAGGTTTGGTAGTGTAGCTTTCAACGCCTGCTACAACCCGGCACATCTGGGCTTCCGGCCCCTGGCCGCGCTGTTGCAGTCTCTGCAGAGACGCTGGTAAATGCAGTTGTCCCACGAGGATTTTGCTGGGGAGCCGCCTCCTCTGCAGGACAAATCACTTCACCACCCCGCCCGCCGCCTTCCTTGCAAAGAGAAATCAGGCCCCGCCCTGGAGTGTTGTTTTTTGCTTTTTTTTGTTTTTGTTTTTGGACAGGCAGAGTGGACAGTGAGAGAGAGAGACAGAGAGAAAGGTCTTCCTTTTGCCGTTGGTTCACCCTCCAGTGGACGCCGCACCGCACTGATCCGATGGCAGGAGCCAGGTGCTTCTCCTGGTCTCCTATGAGGTGCAGGGCCCAAGCACTTGGGCCATCCTCCACTGCACTCCCTGGCCACAGCAGACAGCTGGCCTGGAAGAGGGGCAACCGGGACAGAATCCGGCACCCCGACCGGGACTAGAACCCGGTGTGCCGGCGCCGCAAGGCGGAGGATTAGCCTAGTGAGCCGCGGCGCCGGCATCGCCCTAGAGTTCTTGCAGCAACGCCCCTGCTGCTCGTGCCGACACCGCACGCGGCCACTCTTCTCTCTGCCTCCCCACGCTCTCCCATCCCTGCCACACCACTAGGCAGGGCCCATCAGAGGCACAAAAGGTGGTGTTCGTGCCTTCCTTATCTTGTAGCTCCAAAGTCCAGCACGTGGTGGGGGGGGAACCTAGCTTCTGGTGTGAGTCCATTTAACCAATGGATGTTGTCTCATCAGGCCACACGCAGAAGGGGCCCTCCTCCATCTGGAGTTTAACTTGAAATACTTCCTTTATTTTTTTTTAAAGATTTATGAATGTATGCATGTGAAAGAGTTTAGAGAGAGAAGGAGGGCCGGAGAGAGAGATCTTGCATCCATGGGGTCACTCCCCAGAAGCCAGGAGCTGCATCTAGGTCTCCCATGGGAGTGGCAGGAGCCAAAACACTTGGGTAATCTTCCACTGTTTTTCTCAGGCTGTTAGCTGGGAGTTGGATTGGAAGTGGAACAGCCAGGACTTGAACCGGTGTCCATATGGTATGCTAGCATTGCAGATGGCGGCTTTACCTGCTGTGCCACAATGCCGGCCCTGAAATCCTTTCATGTCACTTTCAAGGCAGATCACACAGCGCACTAACTCCCACTGGGACGGCCGCGTTTCACAGACAAAGCCTAGGGAGGCTATTTTAGTTTGCCCAAGTTGAGATGGCCAGGACATGGAACTGCTGAGTTTCCAATACAGACCCGCTGGGGTTCCAGAATACAGCAAGCTCCCAGAGGCGGACTGAGCATCTGCAGTGGGCCTGGGACCCTGCAGATGGGTGAGGGCCCCGGTGACTCTGCTGGGGACCCTGCAGATGGGTAAGGGCCACGTGGTTCCGCTGGGAACCCTGTAGATGGGTGAGGGCCCCGGTGACTCTGCTGGGGACCCTGCAGATGGGTGAGGGCCCCGGTGACTCTGCTGGGGACCCTGCAGATAGGTGAGGGCCCCGTGGTTCTGCTGGGGGCCCTGCAGATGGGTGAGGGCCCCGTGATTCTGCTGGGGGCCCTGCAGATGGGCGAGGGCCCTGGTGACTCTGCTGGGGACCCTGCAGATGGGTGAGGGCCCCATGGTTCCACTGGGGACCCCAGTAGGAGAAGCCCTTTCTCCTGCCCCTAGTGTGCTCCTGCCACCCCTAAGGAGTCCAGGCAGACAGTCTCATTGTGAACCAGACCCGGAGCCCACAACCACTGCTGCTCGGGGCCATGTTCATCCTCACCTGAACCCCCGTGTGCAGGCCCCGTGTGCCTGCGCACGTCCTGTCTGAGCCGCTGGAATTCTCGCGATGCCGCGGTGTTGCTCAGCGGTCTCCTCATTGGTGAGGTCTGCCACCAAGGCCTCCCTGCCCCCGAGCTTGCTCCCCCCGGCTCCCTGTCTGCCCCCGAGCTTGCTCCCCCGGCCGAAAGCGCTGCTCCCTGTCTGCTCCCGAGCTCGCTGCTTGTTCTCACACCTCCATCACAAGGCGCGCCTTTCACTGAGCGGAGCGCCCCGAGGGTGGTGTCAGAACGTGGCCTCAGGCCTGCTGGGCACAGCTGCTGGAAATGAGTGACCTGCTCCATTAGGGCGCTCTCCCCTCTGCCCGTGCCTTTTCTTGCCATGCAGGCCAGCCCGGGCCAAGTGGAAGCACCGTTGCCCACCCCTCCCCCACATCTGATTTCCCTGCTCACCTCTCCAGCTCTTTCCAGAGTCTTCCCCACACCCACTGACTTTCATCCTGCTCCAGTGGCTGTGGCCTTCGGTAAACAAGGCCTGAAGATGCCAGTCCTGAGGCACCCAAGGGCAGTGGGTGCGCCCTTGAGGGCAGCAGCAGCCCCAGGTTCATCACCTTTGTGCCCCTAAGAGCCAAGCAAAAGGCTCTGAGCACGTCCCTCACAGAACTCCCGAATTCGTTATGAAAATAAATCCACAAAGAGAAAGCCAAGGGGAGATCAAATTCAAAGCAGCTACAGTAGATGGAGCTATGGATCCCACGGTGCTCCACGCCACATCTCGTGCGTCATGTGAGATCAGTCACGTTTGGGTCATTACTGTTCGGTTCGGACGTTTTGTTTCGGTGGATGAAAAGCCCATGGCACTCAGTGGCCCTGCCTTGCCTTGTTGGCTTCAATTACTAAACAGTATAAAAGAGTTGCCCTGAAAATCGCC